TTTTGTAAAAAGCAGGGACAGATTCTTCCATCACAAACCCAGATTTGCTTGCTTGATAGTTGCTAGCTACTAGCTAGCTACATTTCAGAAGGGCTTTAGTTAATCATGTTAGTCACATCTTTCGGTTCAACTCCATTTCTGATATGGGCTTTTTTTTGGCCTGTCAATTCGACCCGCTACCCCATAAACCCAGCACAACCCACTTTAAGTCTCCATCTCCAACACATGGCATGGCAATCTCTATCAACTTTGAACACTAGTCCTAAAAAGAAATTTAGGAGCGTCCATGATGATGTACTTCCTCGGAAAGGTTTTTGCTTTATGCTTTTCAATAAATTCCAGCATCTTAAAATTAGTGGGATCAATGTATGTGATTGATGTGGTAATGTCTTTTCATTTCATAACTTTGAGTACCCAATGTAAATGCAGCCGTGAGTTAGAAGTGAGTTAGGTTAGTTGATTAACTATTAAGATAATAAGCCCGTCCTTATTCGCGTACAATAGATTAATTTAACCCAAAATATGTATCTTGAAACAATTCTTTTTTGTACGTTTTGTTATACTGCCACACTGGTGAGGCGAGCATATCTGCATGTAAAAAAAAGTGAGAATATGATCTAAGACACCCATTTATATAAAGACAAATGTGAAGAGAATATGATCTAAGCCACCCCTTTATGGATCTCCCACTTGAAATATATCTTAATTCTATTTATTTCATGACCACATCAATGATAATAGCTAGCTCCTAGCCTCCTAACTACGTACGTAGCTGTCTTCAAGCTCGACCATCCATCTCTACAGGGAGTATCTATATTTGATTAATTACATGAAAATTTTACTAATTTCTTTAAAGTATCGTTGGTTGGTTGCTTTGACGAGTTTTATATTCATGGCTTTGGAAATTTACTGGTGCCATTTTCTTAAGTTGTGCTTGTGCTTGAGCTGTATCTGCACTTCTGCAGTAGCATAGATTCTATGTAGAAAACAAGGTAGATTTTATTACAGTTGCATTGTGCGCATCAAAGTTGCCATTTTTTTCACTCCATAACATATATAACAAGAACCATATAAATTATAATTATCCTGGTTCTAAATGCTTCTTGTTTTCGTGGTCCTCCTCCTCCTCATCGATATTATTATTAACCAATGGCACCAGCTGCACGATAAAAGCAGGGGACACACTCCAATGCTACTTATTTCCACCATCCCCGTCACCCTGCTGGATATTGTATTTTAATGATCAATATCAGTTTGCTTGAAGCTATTGGTTTTGCATGCACATGGTTAATCTTCCTAATTAGCAGTACTAATTACCCGAAATAAAAAAGGGATGAAGAGGAGATATGGGCTTAGTTAAGTTGGCTAGAGCAGATGTGCTCCCCGCTCTGCACTCGTAGTGTAGATCAGTTTAAAGTAGATTATCACTTGTATCAAAAGAAAAAGAAAAAAAAGAAGGGACGAAGAAACTAGTTGCTAGTGGGCCTGTTCAGCATCCCAAGCGAAGCTCAACAATAGAGAAGAGTGGAGGAGGGGCCTCAAAATGAATATGATTCAGTTAAAGTGGTACAGGGGAGGGGGAAATACTATTATTGCATCAGAGGGCCAAAGAGGCCATAACTAATGCTCCACCATTGCTTTTTTTCACCTCCCCAATTTGGAAGAACAGTTCTCTTATCATCCCATCCCATCTGCAGAATATCTTTTTAGCAGATGTTGAAACAAGCACATTATTATTCCTCATAATAATTAAGGAAAAAGCTTCTGAACTGCTCATCCAACAATCTCTTTATCATCCCCACCACTAGCAATCACCAATACATACTTGCCAAAATAGCTATATATAGCTATATATATATATGGGAGCTCTTTTATTTGAAATAGCCTTGTATATATTTCTTCAAAACTCTCATTTATTTGAGCCCACAAAAGGGTACATTGGGAGTGAATGGAATCTGCTTTAGATCTCCTAAAGGTTTAATTCTTGAGAGAATGAGGTAAAAGCAAAAGTACTAAGTATGGAAACAAAGGAAATAGAAAACAAGTAGTGGCTTTGTCATGATTAGTGCCATGGAAACTCCAGAGAGTGAAAAATATTAACCTTTGCATTGTGGCAATTTGTGGCAATTTGTGGCATTGTGGCATTGTGCCACTGCCATCCATTGCTTTACCAAAGCCAAATTGCCAATTATTGTTAGAGGATTGATTGCCAAGGAACCTGAATACTGATATTGATGGCTGGAGTTGCATTATCCCTATTTGCCTATTGGGTTCCTGCTATAACCAACTAATTTGAGTTTTGACAACTAGGAAAACCACTCATGATCTACTTCCATGATTGCCTCACTCAAATTGTTCTTGTTTCTTTTTGTTGTTGTTGTTGTTGTTGCTGCTGTGTGTGTGTGTGTGTGAGAGAGAGAGAGAGAGATTTGATAATCATAGTGTGTTGATGTTCTGGATGTTCTGTGATCATTCAACTGTACCAATTAATAACCCAATTAGTTGTGAGTTGAGTGGGACTAAATATTATTTGTTCCATGCATTAAGGCTGATGAACTTATTAATTTGGTACTCTTATCAATAATCCCTTTCTACTTAATATGCTTACTAAAAAAGTATTCCCTTCCTGCCTTTCTTTCTGTTAGCATAAGCCATATCAAAAGTGAATGTGTGGATAAAAATAGTATATTGATAGTTGTGTGTCACTGCTGCCCATCTGCCAATATGATCATGCAGCTACTTTCAGGTACAATATCTCTGATTCTCGTCCTCTCCTGCTTTTTGTAACTTATCACACAATCAATCCCAATCTTACCACCTTTCTTCTCCACCGACCAACATTGCACATTAAGCTGCCACTTTTCTCTCCACCTTACCCACCACAGACACAGAGTACCATGAAATAGGTCTTCTTGTTGAATTGTCATGGACCGGACATATTGCTTAATTTGATTCATTTACAAATCATATATAGTCATATATAGGTGGTGGTCTAGTCACATAGACACACACATATAGGATAGATATAGATAGAGTGGTAAATTAATTGGTTTTCAAACGAAGCAAGCACATCTAAAGAAAAACGCTCATGCAAGGAGTTTTATTCCTGCATCCGAGATCCTAAGTTCAATTATCTTTTTTTTTAATCTCACTTGGATCAAAACAGAAGCACGCACATATGTTTATTGTTTATTATTTATTGTTTACAGGGGGACATGTCATAGGGTGTGTCTGGTGATGTCCAAAGTGACTTAAGCCATTTCCCTAATGGTAATAATTATCTCTTACTTATAGTCAAATATTCACGCCGAACTAAGATTCTAAGAATGATGGTCCCTTGCTTATCAAATAATTGAAGACCTTTGCCTCTCACACTGCACCACCAGCCTTTGTCCCTAGAGACTGCACTGCTTGTTCCTCCAAATGATAATGGACTGTAGGAGTTTTCTTAAATGACTTGGAATTCCTCAGATTAAAAGTAATTCTAGCGTCAACCAGGAGAACCAGGAGGGATGGGAATGGGTCAAATCGGGGGTGGGTATGGCATTCCCATCCCCATCCCCGTTAAGCTTTTTTCCCCCATTTCCGTCTTCATACCCGCAATATTCATATCAGGGATTCCTCATCCCCACCTTCGTTGGGGAATGGGTTCCCCGACCCGTCCCAATACGAAAGAAAAAACCAATATATAACTACTTTGTTGAAAAAAAAGGTACTAATTCAAGATAATGAATATATATAATATATACTTATAAGACAATATAAGAATGTTTATATATGTATTGGAAGTTAACTAAATAAATAAGTAGTGTAGCTTAAGATTTGTATAAGTTATATAAGTATATAATATAATAATATAAAATATAAAACTTAGTTGATACAATCACTTTAATAGCATATTTATATATACTATAATATATATATATACCTCATCAAAAATCTATTATATATATATATATACTCTAAACAAGGAGGGTTCGGGTTGGGGATTAAAATACCATCCCTGCCCCTCCCCGAACACCATACCCAAAAAATTCCCCATACCCCTTTTTTGTTTTTTATACCCGACCCATTAGGGTTGAATCCCCACGAAGACCCTTATCCGCAGAGAAAATTACCATCCCACCAGGTTTATCGGAAGAAGCTTTTCGTCAAAAATATATCCGCATTAGTTTTTACTTAGAAAATAATTTCTTTAAAATAAAAAAAAATCTCTTACGACAAGAATTGATGTCTTATAATATAATAGTTAGGCTGGTTTGAGTTAAACCATCTATATATATAAAGCAAAAGACAAAGAATGATAAAACATTCAAAATGCCAGAAAATGTCTTTGGTTAATGCAAACATTAAAAATTGAAATTATTAATTATATGAGAATAATATGGTCAATTTATATTTTTTATATTAAAAAAATTAAAATAAAAAATAAAATCAGACAATGAGTCCTATTTTTATAGAACATAACTAACTACCTATTTTATATTTTCTTAATTCTATAAATAAAAAATAAAAAAAAGAAAACCAATTGACACACGCGTGAGGGGCTAGTTTTAGACAAAAAGAGAAAACAACGTACACATCAATATGACACTATCTAACTAACATTCCAAAGAATAATCGTTTATTTAGATCATATAACCAACGTACTTCAAAAAATAATTAATAAAAAAAAATACTGTAAGGGTCTTGTAACTCAAGTGGTTAAGAGTATTTACCTGTTTACTCAAGGTCCTATGTTAATTTTTTTTTTTTGGAGAGAAAAGGTCCTATGTTTGATTATTCCCTCCCCAATGCTTGAATCAAAAAAAGGAAAAAAAAAAAAAAACTTTTTTCATAATTATTTTCCGATGGGCTAATGCTGCGTAATGGGTAGCGCCAGTTAAAGTTGGGCCGGATCTTTTAATGCAATAAGTTTTATTTTACACAAAACTAGCCCTAAGTTTTGTCGGGCTTCACTTGTTAAACTCAGATTGGGCGTTGTTAGTAGTCCCACTCGGACTAGGAAACCCAAAGCAAACCTTATTTATGTTTCACCACATTAACATTCACAACCCACCACATTAACATTCCAACATGACGAGAAGAGACAAACCTCCTCCGCCTCCTCAGCCTTCTAGCTCCCGAAAGCGCAGCGAAAGAAGAGCTGGTAGAAGAAGACATGTTGTTGCTGGTGACGCCGACAACTCTGAACAACTGCCTCGGCCGTCGGCACCGAAGACAATTTACAGTTACTTAGAAGGGCTGTACGAGAGAAGAGGATCCGACCGGGAGGAGGCACTCGCTTCAATAATTGGGGTGTTAAATAGCAGATTAGAACATGACTTCCTAGAAAAGAATTTCGCAAGTTTTCTATACAGGGGCTTGAATTCCTTCAAAAAGGGTTCCTCCAAGGAGAAGCAGCTATCACTTCATCTCGTAGGGTTGCTTGCCATGATCATTGGCTATGAGGATAAAGTGTCTGAAGTGTACAGGGAGTTGCTTCCGGTACTTTCTAAAGCTCCGAAATCTGGAACCACGGCAGTGAAGGTATTAGATTGTTTGGGCATTGTGGCTTTTTTTGGTGCAACCAACTCAGAGGATATTCAAAATGCAATGCAAATTATATGGAAGTTCATTCATGCTGATCAATCTGATGCAAATGAAGAAAAGCATTCGGCGGCGGTCCTAGTTGCTGCAATAAATGCTTGGTTGTTTCTACTTACGAGCGTGGAAGGGTGGAGACTCAGACACAACAACTGGAATGGAGCCGTTGATTACTTCTCAACCCTGTTGTTAAAGCATGATGATAAATTAGTCCGTGTGGCTGCTAGTGAAGCACTAGCTTTGATTTTCGAAACCGGTAGTTTGGAAAAGTTCTGGGGAGAAGGAAGGGAACGTAGCTATTCACATACGCAACAATTACTGAGGGATAGTATGGTTGCAAACGACGTCCGCCAAGTTGTGAAATATTTTGAGAATTTTCAATGCCCGGGAACATCATTAACAGTCAATGGAAATGATCTAAAGCTGTCATCATGGTATCAGAATATCCAGTTACAGTTTTTGAAGGGTTTTTTGGCTGAAGGGTTCGAACTACAAGTGAAGGAAAATGAAAAACTACAGAATCTGTTCGAGTTCAATCCACATCGAATTATAAATTCAGGTCGAGAATTGTATGTGTCCACCACTGATAAAATCAGTGTCTCTTTCTTTTTACCCGAAGAAAGAGACCCTGAAAAATTAACAAAGGAAGATCGAAAGAAACAAAAGATTTGGAGAAACTCTGTTCTAAAGAAGGCACAGACACAATTAATGAGCAAACATCGCCGTTTGTCTAAAGAAATGAACCGCTCCGACTATGATTGACACTGAGAGTGAATGCTAACACATCTTATTTTCATTTTTTTTATAGTTAAAAACTGTGACTTTATATATTCATTTTATTAATTAATAAAGATTACAACCAACGGGGTCTAGTCCAATGTAAAAGAGTTTTGATTTGAAAACTAGAGATCTCATGTTTGAATTCCCACGGTATTATAGTTGTATGTATGAGAAATCTCTCTCCTTCCCACGTTTAGACTATCGCTTCTATTATAAAAAATAAAAAATTAATAGAGATGACACTTGTTCACAGTTTCATCTTCTCTTTGCCTTAAAGCCCAATAAGCACAAGTTCTGTTAGTCAACTAAGGCTGTGTCTTTGGACCAGGAAGGTTGACCAAGGAGTAATAAGCACCTGCGGGCCCCTTAGCCAGCAGGGAAGAGTGGGTCCCTTTCTCTACCACCTTTCCTTTTTCAATCACAACAATAAGATCACAGTTATGTACGGTACTTAACCTGTGGGCCACCACCACGCTAGTCCTCCCCAACCTCAACCGCTCCAGCGCTTCTTGCATCACCTTCTCCGATTGGCTATCGAGCGCGCTGGTGGCCTCGTCCAATAGCAACACCGCTGGGTTTCTTAGTATTGCCCTGGCTATTGCTATCCGTTGTTTTTGACCTCCAGATAGCTGCACCCCTTTATCCCCACACGACGTGTCGTATCCGTCCTTTAATCCGCTGATAAAATCGTGAGCGTTGGCTGCCTTTGCGGCCTGCACGATCTCCGTCTCGTCCGTCTCATCGGACGCTCCATATACAATGTTCTCTCTTATGGTCCCACCAAATAACGTTGGCTCTTGGCTGACTAACGCCATGTGTTTCCGCAACGATCTAAGGTTGTACGTCTTTAAATCTCGGCCGTCCATTTCCACCACGCCTTTGATTGGATCGTAGAATCTCTCAATTAATCCGATGATGGTCGATTTGCCTGACCCACTTTGTCCCACCAACGCCGTAGATTTTCCCGCTTCCATCTCAATCGAGAAGCCTTGGAAGATCATCGCATTGGGCCTAGTTGGGTATGCAAAATCCACGTCACGAAATTGAATTCGACCTGTTATGTTTTCTACTTGCCTGTCTTGAGGAACTTGGGGCTCGATTTTTGTGGTCCGGTCCAAGATACCATAAATGGACCCGATTGCATACAAACCCATGGCAAGGTCTGATGTCATACTTCCAGCACCGGCTATGGTTCGGCCGGTGGTGACCAAAATTATGATGGTTTCATAGACTGCTCTTGCTGTGACGTGGCCCTTGTTCACAAGCATGCCTCCCCACAAAAAGCTGACACCCCAATTGAGAATTGTGATGCTCTGGGCAAACCCGAGCCCAATACCCGCGACCCACGACTGTCTTAAGCTTTCTCTACGTGGGCCTTCTTGGGCCTTTTCTAGCATCTTCAGAATTGTGTTCTGGGCTGAGAAGGCAGTGATGGTACGGATGTTGGAGACTGCTTCGGCAGCAAGCTTGCAACTTTCCTCTTGGGCTTTGATGGCTTTTGTGGACATTGTTTTGAGTAGGACTCGCTTTGCATACAGGCTGGCAATGACTATGGGTTGGGCGGCAATAATGACCACGGCAAGTCTCCATGCTATTATTAGCCCCATTGTCCATGCTATGGCGACGCCTGAGATGGTTTGTATAAGAAGACCCATTCTATCACCCACTAAAGATCTCACCTGCCAATAATAAGAAAATTGTCAAGATCCCATTTTGGTTTACAAGCGACAGTCCACACAGACTAGCAAGTTGTCATGAAGATTTGAACTTGAAACCATTAATTTATAAGTTACAACTTTTTTTCTATAGGATTAGACCCCGTTGACTAATTTTAAGAAGCTAAACTTTGCTCGTGTTAGATTCTAATAAACATAAGATTGTCTCGTAATATTTCCTCCATCAACAATGTATGAAGTATTGTAAATTGGTACCAATCAATGACCAACTGTTTTTAGCAATAATGTTGAAATAATTAGACCTACCATTTCAGCTTCTTTGGTGAGCCTAGAGCAAAGGGTAGCGCTGGAGTTTTGTCGGTGCTCGAACCATCCAACTTCAAAAGTGAGTATCTTTGAAAGCAGCCTCTCCCTAATCCGATTGCTCAAGAGCTCTCCCATGTATGCGAAGTTGTAATGCTGGATGATATTAATCAGCATTGAGAAAACGGAGAGCCCAAAAAAACACAACGCAAAAGTCCTTATTTTCTCTTCCATCTCATCATGATTTGTCAAGAAAAACACCGATATCGTCGTCCCCATGACGAATCCGTACACCGGCTGAACCGCTCCGAAAAGAACAGCACTCAAACACCCTAAAATCGCTTGCTTCCACTCTGGAAGACTCATAGACATCAATCTCCAAAATGAAGCTCTGGGTTTGATCATGTTGTTTGGATTTTCTTTAGCAGTAGCAGCAGTACAGTCCAATCCAGCGTCCTCGGGGGTCGAATTCAATTGGCTCGCAGATGATGGAAGAGCGGGACTATTAGTACTGTTGTTGCAGTGACATTGATCTTCTGAAGTTTCTTTTGGAATTTGTTGGAGACGAACAAATGAGGCGTAAAGCCCATTTTGGTTTTGTATTAGCTCGTCGTGTGAGCCAGTTTCTGTGACGCTACCATTTTGCATGACGGCAATAACGTCGGCGTTTCGAATGGTGGACAGGCGGTGTGCGATGACTATGGTTGTTCTGCCCATGGCTGCCTTGTGGAGAGCCTCTTGAACAAGCCTCTCTGACTCAGAGTCTAATGCGCTGGTGGCCTCATCAAGAAGAAGGATCTTGGGTTTTCTAACTAATGCTCTTGCAATGGCAATCCTCTGCTTCTGTCCTCCTGATACTTGAATGCCTCTCTCACCAACCTGTTGGATTTGATTTGATGAAGATTTGCTACTATTTATTTAAGCAATATCTTATGGATTTACCAATTTTTTTTATTTATACTAGCAATAGTCCGGGTTTTTTTTTGGTCAAGCAATAGTCCGGGTTTACTATTCTGACCAAGTGGCCTAACATGCATGTGATTTGCCAATTTATTATTACTGTGATAAATTGTTCTACTAATTGCTAGTAGGGAAAGGGAATGAAAATTAACCTGGGTATCATATCCTTGAGGCAGCTGAGATATGAAATTATGAGCATTGCTAGCTTTGGCAGCCTCAATTACTTCCTCAATTGTACCATCTTCCTTGCCAAAGAGTATATTCTCCTTAATGGAGGTTGAGAACAGAGAAGGCTCTTGGCTTACTGATGCCATTTGTGATCTTAGCCACTTGAGCTGCAGCTTATCAATGGCAATCCCATCTAGAGAAATCTCTCCCTCAAGAGGGTCATAGAACCTTTGCAACAGTGAAATCACTGTGGATTTTCCTGAGCCACTAGGACCTACCAAAGCAATTGTCTTTCCTGCTGGTATGTTTAGGCAAAAGTTGTTTAGTATAATGCTATCAGGCCTTGATGGGTAGGCAAACTTGACCTGTTTAAATTCAACTTCACTTGAAAAAATTTCCAGAATTTTGCCCCCCAAGTTGTCTGAATCAATCTGGGGAACTAGTTTTGTAACTTCCATTATACGCTCACCAGCTGAACATGCTTCAGTTATGTACTTGAGGTTTGATAAAGCAGAACCCATTACCCTGTTTCTCAAAGAACATTGGAAGTTAACCCATCATTTCATTAAAGAATAAAAACCCAATTACAATTTCTTTTTAAGATGGCATAAAATTCCATGTTATAAAGTAGAGTTGAGGAGAAGTTATTGCTTACAATCCCCCATTGACTATTGAGACGCCAACTGCAAAAACATTTCCTCCGAGCGCGCCGTGGTA